GTTCAACACCGATGAAACAACTTTTGCCATCGGCTCGTGATTCTCTCGCTAGCGTTTGCGTTTTCGATGGAGTCACTTGTGCTCTAATCCGCGGGCATGAGTTGAAATCTCGCTCGCTAATACCGCCAAAGAGGCGCAGCCAGATGAGGCTATCGGCCGGCCACTCTTGAAAATACTGCGAATAGGTGGATATCACAATCAAATGTAGCTACAGTTAGCTGGTATCGCCAGTAATCTCGCGTGACTGCCCTTTTCATGCTCGCTGCGTATTATCTGCAAACGATAGCGCGCCGTGTCGCAGCGCGTCAATTCGTTCGATAATAAGTTTTAATCAACGTATTAGCAGTTTAATTGTTATTTTATTCGTAGCGCACTCTTGTTGCGGCATCATTCAGAAACGTGTGTGATATTTGTCACCGGATTGATTTATGTAGAGCTCGTTGTCAGATTTGCGATAAAGTCCACAAGCAGAACACAAAGTCGTTTTTTAAAAGTCACGATGACAAAAAAATAATCTTTCCTCGAAAGTCCAGGCGGTATTATTTAACACTTTTAAGACCATTGCACTTTTCGGCCATGTTAAAAGATTGAAAGGGATTTCATTATATCAGTGATTTAAAGGTGGGTAATTATTTTGTGATTCGAGAGAAGAATTAGGAAAAAAATATATTGACTCTTCGAAACAAAGGCTTCTCAAATGACGGATATACAGGGTGGCTCCTTTTAATCAATCCACTCAAATATCTAGTACTATTGCACGATGAAAAGTTTTCTCCTGGAACTTATACGGTTTGAGATATTTTAGTTGACTGATTAAAATGAGCCTTGTATATTAAACCTTGTATAGTAAAATTTTTAAACTAATGGTAGAAATTAAAGAGCCAATTTATTGAAACCTATTTTGTTTTATTTCTATGAATACATTTTAAGTGAAAATATTTTTTAAGTATAGATATCCTGATTTTCCATTCACACAAGATACAAAATAAAAGATCAAGAGTACGAATGTCACAAGATAATATTTACTATCGCATTTTATCATACAAGTTATACTCTTGTCGTAATAGTATCGTTTTAGTTAAAAGGAACATTTTGTATCTATTTCTATTTACTGTTACCATATTTAAGACCTAACATATAATTACGAGCGTCGGAAATAATCCAAAATTCAAGCAGCACGTTTAAGTTTTAAAATCATAATTTGATCACACAATTTTCTGTCACGATCAAACTCTGACTTCCGATGTATGTGTGATATTCATCAGCTGACGTCATTTTGATATCATTTTGACTTCATCATGCCTTTTCTGCTCGGGGTCGACGACATTTTGATTTATTGCACGATCGATTATACGCTTTCGTTGTCTCATTCATCCATATATATTTCACAAATATTATACTCATATTTATAACGTTAAATAATTTTTCATATATTTCGTATAATCTATTACGTTAGAGGTAGATGACATTACGTGTCCCAGTTTTTGTTCACAGAACGGAAGGAGTTTCCTCCGTGGAGGAAACTTGGGCTAGCGGCGGGGGCGATTTCACGAATGATATGGCGAGTCAACCAATAGTAAGATTTTAATGAAACCCCCGGCCCAAAGTCCACCGTCTTCGTCGACAAACACCGACGGTTCGGCTACGGACGTCTGAGATTACGCGTCTGAGCGCGATATTCTAATGGACGGCAGGCTGGCAGCCGGCCTTTCTCGCACATTTAGTCGAATGGGTTAAAACTGCGGTTATTTGCAGTGCACTTCGATCGAATTGGCTGCCGTTTGCATAATCTCCTTCCGTTGCCCGCCGCGTCGCACTCGTCCACATCCGCGCGCCTTTCTTTCGCCGGATCTCCCTCTGCTACCCGCTTTCCCGTCTCTTCCGCCTTTCCCGAGCGCTTTCCTTTTTCCCATCCGGTCGTACCCTCCATCCACGAAAACGATCGCGTTTCTTTGTCCGGAGCAGGCGGGAAATTTAGGTTCCTCCGCGATCGTGCTTGATTTATATCCGCCGATCGATCGCGGGTCTCACGGCGACGGATCGTTCGCCTCGCGCGCCTCGAGGGAAGATCACGGTGGGCCGCGGTCAGCGCGGAGCGAGTACGATCGCCGGCGAACGAATTGTCTCAATTGCGACTTCTTGTCGGGATCGGATTTCCGCGGGTCGACTGCGTTTACGCGAGCCCGTCGACGGCTACGACCACGACGACGACCTCGGTGACACGGAGGATACGTGCCGGCGCGCGGCGGCGTTCTTGGGAGCGTACAAATGGCGCGCCATGATCGCCCCTCGAGTTTTGCGCGCAACCGATTTGAATAAATTCCCACGCAGCCGTAAAAATTGCCGGTCTTGCCACTGACACACTGAAATTGCGAGATTGTTTCCACGGCGTGCGGAATAAAAGTATTTGCTTCGCGAAATTTACACGCGCTCGGACACGTTTTTCTCGAGGGGAGACCTCGCTCCGTAAAAATAATCCCGAAACTCAAGTAACCGTTCCTTCAGTAGGTGCAGTCGTAGACGGACTGGTTGCGGCGCGTTTTTTCTTTTTATAAACGAGTTTAGAAACGCGCGTTTACGTTCTGAATGAGAACTGCTACCTTTGAACCACTACTGCACTATGCCGCGCGTTGTATATGGAAGTTTGACGGTATCATAAGCACCCATTGTGCGTGAGCGAAGGTAGTAGTTCTCATTCTGAATTTAAACACGCGTTTCTAAATTTATTAAAAAAAAGTGTTACAACCTGTCCGCGACTGTAACGGACAGAACGGTTGCAACAATGTTTTTAATGAGTTTAGGAACGTGCGTTTAGATTCAGGATTACGTTCCAAAATCTTCTTCTCCGAGGAATATTTTATTCGAAAGCCATTTCGAGCATCCCCGATCTATTTCTCGAGTAAAATCTTCCCCATAGAAAATGTCTCGGAGCGCAAACCTGAATCTAAATGCGCGTTCCTAAACTCACTTAAAAAAAAGCGTTGAAATCATTCTGTCCATCGCTGTACGCGAGATCCGCCGATAAGAGAGACGCCCGGAGGCGCAGTTTATGATTAAAGATCACGTATAAAATTATCATACTGTAATCACAGGCTTTTGCGCGAAACGTGACGTGCGTGGATTTAACGAAAATTCATGGCTCAACGTAAAATCATTTCGTATCACGTTATGAATAGCGCAGCGCAGCGCAGCGCAGCTCGCGGCGCGGCGCACGGCACAAAGCAATAACCGTTAATACCCGTAATAATTGTCCGCTGCGTATTATTAATACAACTTAATTACCGGTAAGCAATCTGCGGTATATATATATATATATATATTTGCGACAATCCCTATCGCCGGATGGAATGCGTAATGCCACTGGATTCGCGGTGTTACGAGCTCGAGCCCGTTTTGCGCGCACGAATTGCATCGGTTACGCTAAGTTTGTCACGTTACGAGCGACGACACGAAGTTCTTGTTAAATTGCTCGTCTTTCGCTCGTGCGATCCTAAAATATATATTTACATGTATATAACACACGTGTGTGTATACACACATATATATGTAAGTATATATTTTAGGCTCGCGTAAAATGTATGTACAGAGTCGTTTAACAGTCCGAAAACGGTTAAATATTTCCGAAGTGGATGTTCTCTGAAAGTCAGCCAGTGGATTATCACTGAAAAGTGATTATTCACTGATTCACATTCATAAGTACAGCACTGAATTATTCAGTGCTGCGCTTGTAACTGTTTTCAGTGATAATTGATTTTTAGAGGGTGGCTCTATAAGAGGATGCTTTAAACAAACGTGCACTGTTCGAAACATTTTATTAGATAGCAATAGTTGTGCGACTGTGACGTGACCCTGGAATGATTTGTCAAGATAACCTTAAAAAGTTTAAATATCACAAACTGTGATAAGGAAACCTTTCCAAAACACAATACGATAATGTCAAATTTGTACATGACTGCATGTATACACGGCGAGAATTTTCTTTTAAAGTTTACCCTGAAAATCATGTAATCGTGGGACAACGTGGCATTTCGAACAGCTGTATGAGTTTGTTGAAATTTTCCCATTGAACTGTATTGAAATCATCGGCAACTTCAAATTAAGATTACGATTTATCGTTAGCTTTTTCCCAGGTGCATCAGACCCAAAATTTTTCCATATATTCTACTAGTAAAATGTACTCACAAATATAAGTAATAGTAGAATGTATGGCGAAATATAAAACAAAACTTATAAAATTCTTTGAAATGCCACGTTGTCCCACGATTACACGACTTTCAGGGTAAATTTTAAGAAAAAATTCTCCCCGTTCATGTACGTGTGTATATATTTACGTGTGCATATATATATATGTACATGTACAATGTATAGCATTGTATATCGTTCAAAGTGAAAATTTCCCGCCGGGCGTTCGCTTTAAACGCCGCTGAATATTTATGATCCCAATCTCTTTTCAGCCTACGGTGAAACGAGGTTTACCGCCATAATAGCGATGGGGTGTGCGTGGCGTATCCGCGATGACTTTAATAACTAGTTACCGGATTAATTGCGTCACTTTGTCACCGTTAATTTACCTATTAAGCACTTATCGGTGGAATGACGTATCACGGGCGCGCGGCACAATTATTCATTATGCTAATTGCGCGCAGCTCTGCTGTAGATAAATCTTACTCGCTCTTTTCGGATCGTGTAAGTGTCACCGTGACGTTTATATCGGGGACGAAGAAGGGAGCTGTTCCGCGTAGCGCGATACTCGTAGCTGCTCCTCGTTATAATTTAAAAGTGAAATCTCGAGCTGTTGAGAAAATCGAATTTATAAAGAAAAAAAAAAGCCGAGAATTCAGAAAATCTCAAAAGGATTAAAAGTACGCCGCGATCAAAGGGCGGCATGTAAATCACGGTTGGTCTTAAAATAATGAGAAAAAAAAATAAATTATGCACCGAGGCGGGGGCCGAGGAAAGGGGAGAGACGTCGCCTCGGCGAGATTAAAGGCTTGCCTCACCTGTCGTCAGAGAAGAACAGAACAGCGCCGACAGTAGTACGAGCTGCATTTTAGTCGGACACTTGCCGCACCTGGAGCACGATTCGTCGCCGGGCGAAGTGGCGCTCCACTTCTTTCTCGTCTGCACCTTCGAGTACTTCATCGTTCACTTGACATTTGCACGGGGCGGGGTCCAGAGGTCAGCGGGGGAGGATAATCGCGGTCGTTTGTACCGTTTGCCGGGGAAAAGAGAGTCAGACTGCGGAATTCGCGTCGCCGCCCGAGAATTTTCGCTCAGTCGAGTCTACCGCGGAGCGCATCAACGCGCCCCCCGTTCCACGGAGCGAGCCGATCAGCGATTCGACGACGACGACGACGACGACACGTGCTTCTCGCCGAGAAAATCGTCGGCGTCGACGCACCCCGATAGCTCAGAAACGGCCGAGCGCCCGCATTTGAATGTTGACTCGGATCGAACCAGCGGAATTCCTGCGCGTTCGCCGATTTGTCCGACGCTGTCTCTCCCACGCTTTTCGATTCCCGCGAGAGGATTCCTCCGTGTTTTTTAAGAAGGACCCGAATACCGATCACGCCGTTTAGCGTGAAAAAAATTCCACCCCGCGTTCGGATTTAATGGAACGCGCGGAATTTCCCTCGACGTTCCCGTCGTCGATTCACTCCTGCGCCCTCACCGTTGCCTTTCCGCCCTTTTTGGAAATCGTCGTTCGAGCGCGGTATCGCGGAAGGCAGCTGTTCCGTGGCACCATTTGCGAATTAAATAAAAATTGAATTATCAAGCCAGGCCGCCTTATCTCGCGCGGCTTATTTGTTCAACGAGGGAGGATTCCCTCGGAGGTTCCCCGCGAGCGGAAACGCTCCTTGACGTCGCCACGTGTTTTTTCGTGGAAGCCACACACGGGCAATAAGCGCACTCAGCCGTCGTACATCCGCGCGAAAGTAGTTCCGCTATTACTCCGGCTTACCCCGGTCATTCCGCGGAGGTCTTCCCGGGCTTAACGATCCTCCTTTTATCGTCAGTTGTTAGACGGTGGGCGCTATTTCCGCCGTAAACGTTGTCCCGTAATGTGTTTCGTCTCCCGCAACTTCCCTCTCTCGGGCTCGCTCCCTCGGGCGCTCTCGCCAAGTTTTTGCGCCAAGGCTCGACGTCCCCCCCTCTCTCCTCCGTTTCCTTTTTTTCCGCCTCCTTTTCGCGCGCCCAGCGTTCGCGCCCAGGTGCGCACCGCACACGTATATATATTTCCCCGTCAAACGGGTGTCACTCCCTCACGAAACTCTGAGGTCCCTCGTTCCGTCTCGAGGCGACGGTCCCTCCCTTGCAACGCGCGCGCTAACGCCGCTCCCTCCGTTTCTCCGTGATCCTCGCTAATTAATTAACGCGGGATGATTACTCGCCGCGACGCAAACGTCGATGCGCCCCGAGGAGAGCCCGGGGATCCTCCCCCCCGCGGTTGGACGAGCGCGCTCGCGACGGTTTCGCTTCCTTCCCTCACCGGCGACTCCTCATCGTTGATTAACCGGTGCCTCCGCCGCGCCGCGGTTCGTTAGTGATATCAAAGCGAGAGCCTTCGCGAGAGAGCGGCGCGAAACGCCTCGCTGTAAATTTCATCCGGCCACCGCGCCGGCCGGATCACTCGCGCGCCCGGATCCTCTTTTTATTCCCCCCGTTCTTTCTCTATCGCTCCGCGGGAGAGAGCGGGGAAAGCGGAAATCGTCATAGATCAGTGAGCGTGAATTTTCGTCTGCGTTCGCCTCGCGGTTCAATGAATTCCTCGCGATTTTTTCCACCGCCGCGATTCTGTTTTCCTCCTCACCGCGAATCGGCCGACGTTCTCGAACCTGACGGGTTCGCGCGTCCTCGCGGGCGGAATCGCGAGACACGGACGGCGACGCGCCCACGTGACACTTGCGTTCCCCCGGTCCACGTGCCGCGATCGCGATTGTCCACCCTTATTTCCTCCCGCCGCGACGCACCCCCGTTGCGAGCGCAACGCGCATCTCGCGCCTCGATCACCGCGGGTCCGTTAATCGTCACTGTATCCTTCTCACCGGTGCTTTCCCACGCGTATCCTCCTACAACGTGCCACTGTCACTCGCAAAACACACCCCTCGTCGACCTCCCCGGCGATCGCGATCGAATCTCCCGGAATCTCGACGGACGACCCGACGCGAAAGTCACGCGGCACTGCCGACGCACGTTTCCCCTGTGCGATCGGTCTCTTTTTCAGTTGACGAAGAATGAAACAAGGCCACGACTCTCAGCGTCACTCGTCACTCTCGGAGCGACCGGAAGTCAGTCACCACGCGAACACGCGTGGACACTCGCGGCGACGAGCACACCGGCCCGTTGTCACAGGCTACCCGAGAACCTTTACCAGCGGCAGTTCGTAGTTGACAGAAACCCTTGGCGGGAGCGGTACGACGAATAAGGTGCCACTCCCACCCGCGCATGCTCCACCACCACTCTCCGGATCATGATCCCCTTCTCTCCCTCCTCCTTCTGCTTATTTTCTCCTTTCCCCTTCGTTGAGCCCCCCCTCTCGCCCCCTGCCCCTCGCGGCCTCCCTCCTCACGCATGATCCCCCCCGTTTACTGCATTTTCAAATCATTTTCTCCCGCTCCCGTCCGCCAGACTGTCTTCCCTCGTTTTCTTCCCGTGTCTCTCCCTTCTTGACCACCGTCACCACCGCCCTCATATATAACCGCACGTGGTGCCGCCGTCGGAGTGGGGCGATCCATAAAGCAATTAATTCGGGTAATAAACTCGGCCGGGGGACGGCCTATTCGGACCCTCGGCCGTCCCGAGAACACGCCGCTGGATCCTTTCAGCGACTTTCCTCCGACTTGACACGCCTTTGTTCGACACAGCAATCGGCTTGTCACATCGCAGACTATCTCTCTATCTTCGCTGAAACAAGCTTAACCCCTTTGGCCACGTATGACGTGTCAGGGGGATGCGGAAACTGTCGGAGTGAAGCGACGGATTTACGAGACCGCTCTGCGAGTTTCCTTCTCTCTTTTTTTAAGGCCCTGCCCTCAACTAATTTAAAACTCCCTCTCCACGGCTTTTTAATTGAGAATAATTGAGCACCCGATATACTCTGATTTATACGTAACGATCGTTAAAGAGCGACAGCCGCAAATTATCTTTTCGAAGATGTTACGAGAGCCCCGTGAATTATTATGTAAGTACGAGATGATTAATTATTACTTGTATTGTATCTTATAACAGCAAGCGGCTATGTCGAAATAATGATCGCTCTATCTATCTGCCATTGTCTCTTACGAATAATTTACTTTGATCGGTGAACTCGAGAGTATGCAATTAAACTTTTTAATGTCCCGACTACAAGTTTTCTTGTTCGGCGTTTTGATTTTATCATGAAACGACCAGGCCTAGAATCAAGGCGACACCCTTTTATCGCTTGACTCAAAAGACTTATTTTAAAAAACTTACAGATTGCGCTTCACTATGGCCGATATATTCGTAGTCAGATCTTATATTCAAGATCGTCTCGAATTTATTGGCTACGGAGTGTCTAAAGATGATCTTGGGACGGTCCTGATTATGACTGTGAACTCTCTGAAAGTCAATCAGTGGAATATAAGTGGAGTCGGAACGTGCGCGTTGATTTATTTATTTCATTCTACTTTATCGAAGGAATGTTTTTTTTTCCGTCATATTTTACGATCTCGTTTTCGCTCATAAATTGGCCGTAATACCCATTATTTATTTTGCTGAAATGAGCGATATTTAATTTGCTCCATTGTACACGTATATATACAATACATTAAGCCGCAATTAATAATGCTCAAGTAGAAGCGAAATAAGATCGATTTCTTTATAACGAGGAATAAAAGACGGGGAATATATAAATGCGCAAAACACACGAAGCTCGAGGCACCGCGCATTCGGACGACCGTCACGATCTGTTTTAATTTGTTAAATATATTCATCGCTCTCGTTGGAGAACGGCGCTCTCGTCTAGACGCCGCTTGCATAAGTTTTCGCAATGGCGTCGTCCCTTATTCCCCGGGCCCAATGAGGGATTATTAAAGAAAGGCGCTCCCCCTCCCCCTAGCGGCGGGCTGCGTAATAAATCAATTAGTTTAAATAAGAAGGGCCCGCGGCACGTAGACGGCCGGGAGGGAAAGCGGCGACGTCGCGTCCCGTGAAACAACGCCAGCTTCGCTCCTCGCCAGCCCATTATTATGGCCCGCACGGCGGGCGAACCGCCGTCGATTGCGCCGATGAATTAATTGCGCGCGATCGATTAATTAAAACGCCGACGCACCGTCAACGTGATCGCAATGCCGAGCGGCGGAAATATTATTCCGACGCGCCACCGCGCCGGTTGACTCACCGGCGATAAACACCCCGGGAACCTTGAAGTCGGCACGCTCGGCCGGTCGCCTTGCCGCCTAACCGATGGTTAACGTCGAAACGACCGTCCGCGCCTGCCGTATTTGTGTCACTCGGCTGGACCGGTCGGTTCCGCGCGGCGATCACCTGGTCCCGCTCTCACCCGCGCCGGCGATCGCCGCCGCGATTCGCGGCGTGGATCAATGCCGATTCGATTTGCATTTCCCTATCGTCCCAGCCCCGGCGCGAGAAAGCCCGGATCTCGCGCCAGGCAGAATAGAAGTGTTCGCATACATTCGAACGATCGCGCGAATGACAGCTGAGAATTATCCGTTGCATAATACACGCCGCATCCCGGCGCAGGATGCCGAGATCCTGGATATGAGTTGTTGGTGAATGAATTAACATACTAATTACATGCCCCGTCAAGCACGCGTTGCGCGATTTCACGGCTTTGGTAACTTTGCAACAATGATGAATCTTTCGTAACTATGCTAAATAGATCGTGACGCGCTTTTGTCCTCCCTCCGCGCGCGCGCGCGCGCCCGTGCTTCCATTTTGCGCGACTTAATCTCGATTTAAGATGAACGCACTGATAAAAATGTCCAGCCGGAGGAATTCAAAAATTGATTTTCCCGCGTAAAAGTGTGTACTCAACATTCTTTCATGTATTTGTTAAATACTACAACAAGCTACCGCTATCCATAAATGTTTTCTCCTCTCTTTCCTTTTTTCCCTCTCTCTCCCTCCCTCTCCCTCCCCCCCCTCTCTCTCTCTTTCTCCGTATTACACTGATAGAAAAATATGTAGTGTTTGAAACTATAATTGCATTGTAAAATAATTATTGTCAGAAATACCACTTTTATACATAGTAATTATTACTATCATAATAGTAATAGCAACCATACAGGCATGGTGATGCCAACTGTTAAAAAATTTCCTATAAAATATAAGCTTTCAACTATTATTCCGTAAAATATCAAGGTAACGAATAGTAAATTAATTAATTATCTCCGTATAGTAAATTCAATCATAATAATAGTAAATTTAACTACGTTTATATCATCCTTACATGAAGAACAAAAGAGAGATAGTTCGGAATTTTTCCACTAGAGGGACGCGCGGTGTAAAACTTTCTCGTAAGAAGAAAACCGCATATGGGCTATTACAGATATGGGTGAATCTATCCCGTAGCTTCAAGTACTTGAAGGAAATAGATTTTTTTAATTATTATTATCTTTCATATATTAATAAGGTAAGTGCGCAATAACGTGCGCATCGAAATCTCGTCTATTTGAAAATCGAGAAGAGAACGCGGAAATTGCAGATTGTTAGGTAGCGATTGTTCAAACGGCAAAACGCGCAAGTTGAGCGAATTCAATTAGCTGCGATAAATAATAACGCGAAACACGAGAACGATCGGCGGTGAAAATACGCGCGAACCACCACGTCTACTTTCGCCCGTTCGAAAATTTTTAACCGAACCGCAGTTTTCGCTGTGCATGCTCCATTGACAAATTGGATACGAGAATCGCGAGCGAGCGAGGAGGGGGGGGGGGGCAGATTAATGCGATCCGTGAGTCGCTCTCGGCTTGTTTATCGTGCCATCGATTTCGCCTGTTCGATTGCTCAGAAAAAGCCCAAGAGATACGCTTTTCAATTATCTCCGTAACGGAAGTTATATTTACAGACCGCTTATGTCGTGTGCATGCGCGGCCTCGCAATCCTTTGTGTTCGTTCAATTACGTTCTCGCCGTGACGTTGAATTACCTATTCCTTTGTCACCTGTAGACTTTCAGTCCCGTTTCGGCTAATGTATTTCTTCCATCCTTACCTCGCTCCCTTTACGTTACAGATATACATATACTTAATTAAACACGAGCTCGCTAAGCTCCATTCTGCTTATTACGTCAGACACATTTCTACTTAAACGCCAACTCGTTAAACTCCATCCCGCCTATTCTCGAGGAGGTGCAAACGATAAACGGAAACGCCCGTGGCCGAGCTTAGTATCGAGATTTGGATCGAGAGTTACATATCAAGCCTCACGTGTCACGCGTCTCGCGGTGGAGAATCCGTCACGTAAACGGTCCATTCGGATTTGCCCGGGAGCCGGGCTTAATCCCGCGACGCGTTATCGCTCGCATCAGGTATTTTTCTTCTCGGCTGGGGTGTGTCGAGACAACTTCGCCTTCGGGGTGCTTTCAGGGGACCATTTTTCGGAACAGCGCCATCCAATTGTTATCATCCCGGCCGCGGCGAAGGGGTGACTGCGGTGGTGTCGCGGTGTCGAGCCGGTCTTAACATCCTGAGCGAACCCATTCGTCTCCGGGACTCATCTCCGGATCTCGCCCTCGCGTCAGCTCGTTTATACGACGGCCAACCAACCCCGGCTGCGGTAGCTGCTCCCGCCTGGCAGAGGCGCCTTCAAATTCGAGCCCGATGCGAGGTCTCTGCCCCCGAGCCTAATCCGCTCACTCACCTCCATTCCGTGGCAACGGCGCATAGTGATGGCCTTTCAACCAATACATCACACCAGACGTGAAAATTAGTAGATTGAAAATCTTTTTCTTTTTTTTCCCCCAGGCGTATAATGTGCGTCGCGATTTTCAAGTGAAATAAATTGCACGATTTATCAGGAACAAGAAATTTATTCATTCAAATAAGTAACAGATTATTTTAACTTATTTTAGTAAGTAGATCTCTTTTTGGGCTTTTAAAATTTATTTCAATGATGCCATGCTGTTCTCCGATTTAGTCCGAATAGTGGGACACTTTCGAATTGACAGCACTAGGTGTAAAAAGTGCAGAATAGGTTACCTAACCTATAACTTATTCGAAGGGGTAGATTTCTTGTTAGACTTCCAAACTTAATTTCAACGATACCATGCTGTTCTCCGATTTAATCCGATTAGTGGAAACTAGTCAGTCTGTACACAAAAGCCACATAATTTGTAAATTACAAAAATATTTTCATGAATTGACAGTTCTAGATGCAAAGGTGCAAAGGGTGCAGACTCACTCCAGCA